TATTTCTACCCCACCATTCCTCTTGCAAGGAACTCAAATGACTTACAAGATTTTCCTTCTCTCAATTTATCTTCACAACAACCCTGTGAGGTAGGTTGGGCTGAGAATCTGAGACTGGCCCAAAGTCACCCAGTTGGCTCCATGGCTGAGTGGGGACTAGAACCTAAATCTCCTCAGCCCAACCAGTGTAACCAGTATGCCACCCTGTCTTTCCTTTCTTAAAAGGGAATGGGGTTGAAATGTGTTTGGTGCAATGATTGAGAGGAGAAAAGACATAGCCACAAAGCAGAGTTTACTCCTGTTTGAATTGCCATTCCTTTCAAGACTAGTTAAGGCTCCCATTTATGCATTTAACTTTCAACTCCCTTGCCAGCAAAAGACAGTGGCGGCCACTCCTTCTCTCCACCACCATCAGCTTCTTCCTTGTTTGCTCCCTTCCTCTGAACTTGAGCGAGGCAGGAGAGCTGGCAGGTTGCAGTGAAGAAACAGGTCAAGGGGGAATCTCATCCCTGGAGCTTTTTGGTTTTGAGGGTTAACCATCTGTAGGAAACTCCCATTTTCATGCAGTTGTCTCTGCACAGTCATGTGATTTCACGTTGATCTAGTCTCCAGGCCTTCATGGTGAAAGCTAAACACTTACCAAAATGAGACTGACTGACTTCAGCCGGGCTTCCATGAAAACTTTTCAAGTGCCACTCTCCACTGAAGGAAGAATTATTATACGCCCAGCCAGGGCCAGGCTTGGGAGCTTCAGCTCTGAGGAAAAGCCTTATGGTGTTCAGACTGTACAGACCTTCTGTAGCCTAGAAGGAGTTGTGGGTTGCCCTGCGATTGTGTGGGGAGAGAAGGGCCACTTTCTGGAAAACGTATTTCTCTCTTTAAAACTTTTCCTTCAGAATCACAGTTGAATTTTAAGGCCAGCGTGCACACATAAAAGCAAGCAATTTAATGCAATGTGGACAAAAGACTGAAACAGACACAAAACATTTGTAGGATATCTTGTGTCTTGGCTTCTCTGGTCTTCTCTCCCCTGAAAAGTCCTCCATTCACCTCTCCGAGGTTGAATTCCTGACCTTGGAAAGCAGCCAGCAGAGTTATTCCTATGCCAGCCATGAGGGGCATGGAAGGAACTCCAATCCCCAGAAGAGTCCCAATTCCCAGCTCTGAAGTCAGAGGATTGTCTCCACCCTCCTTTGTGGGAATCCAAAATATTCTACAGTTCCTTAGACACGATCCAGAGACCACAAGATTGCTGATATTAAAAAGCCAGGGCGAAAAAAAAAGGGTTTTGCCTGGTGCCCGAAGCATTGCCGAAGCACTAGGCAAACATATTGGGGGGGGGGGGGTTCCCCCGGGGGGGGGGGGGCACTGCAAAAAAAAAAAAAAAAAAAAAGCCTTCCCCTTGTTGATGTCCCACCTTGAGGCTGCTTAAACTTGGATCCATAAGAAAGAAGATAAGAAAAGCCCTGCTGGACCGCAGGTCCATCTAGTTCAGCACTGACTCCGTCCACTTGATGGAAAACCAGCTGCCCAGAGGATCCCTCCAGCAGGATGGGTGCAAGGCCTCCTCCTGCCCAAGCTCCTCAGCAACGGGGGTGTGCAAGCAGGCCACCTCTGGTGAAGGAGGGTGCACATGGCCAGGAGGGCTAGTAGCCACGGAGGACCTCCTTCCCCACCACAAATCCATCCAATTAAAGCCACCCAGATTGGTGGCCATCAATAGCCCATCTGGACCGCCCTTCAAACACATCACCAGGGAACTTCCTTCAAGTAGTCTATCTTCCTCTGAGGTCCCTCTCTTTGCAGGTGTCTCTTCTCCCTCCAGCCTCTTTTGCTACCGTTTTCCAGGCTCCATTCCCAGCCGCTCCAGGCAGGGATGCGGAGTTGCTTGCAGCTTAAAGGAATGTCATCCCAGTTTGCAGAACTCAATGAAAAATTAAACAGATTTATTAAAATAGATCACAATCAAATTTGAGGAAGATGAGATCAAATAGTTTTCAGATGGGCTGCGGGAATGGCTGATGTAAGGACTCAAGAGGGGACACAAAACCAGTAATGGACTCAGGAGGGGACACAAAACCAGTAATGGAAGGGAGTATGTCAAAGGGCAATGGATATCATTATGTGGTCAATAAGAGCAGGCCTAAAAGAGGATCCAAGGGGATTGTTGCAGTTTGGTTAACACCGCCAAGGGATGACCTGAACCTTTCCTCTCTAAGTATAGCCCCAGCAGTAGCCGGTTAGCTAGTTTTCATACCATGTTTTCCCAAAAATAAGACCTAACCAGAAAATAAGCCCTAGCATGATTTTTCAGGAGGCTCATAATATAAGCCCTACCCCAAAAATAGGCCCCAGTTAAGATCGTCAGCCAGACGGATGGGGAAACATGGCAGTACATCCGTTGCAACAAACGATAGATGCATTGAATTATAAAATAAAAATGTTATTATATAATTAAATTTAAATAATATTGACATTAATACTTAAAAAACATTATAATATACATTATAATTATTTGTAAATACTGAAGCGGGCACCTTTGGACAAGAGGTAAATGCCTATGTATACAGATGGATGTGAGACTTATTGCTGAATGACCAGAGTACAGACACAACATAAAAATAATGTCAATACGTCATGTGTTGTAACGGACATACTTAATGCATAGATGTAAAATGCAAGATGGGTGCAAAAAGAAAGAGCTATTTGTTGAGTACAAGAAAGGAATCATGGAGGACTCTCGGGAGAAGAATCTTACAGCTTTCGTAAGAAAAAAATAAGACCTGAAAATAAGCCCTAATGCGTCTTTTGGAGCAAAAATTAGTATAACACGCAGTCTTATTTTCAGGGAAAGAGGGTACAGTGGTATCTTGGCTCATGAACTTAATTCATTCCATGACTCTGGTCATGATCGAAATTGGTTGTGAGCCAAGTCAAATTTCCCCATAAGGTCCAATATAAATTAATCCATTCTGTAACCATTTTTTTACTCACACAAATTTGAAGGAAGAACAACAAAGATCGCGGCCATCTCCCCCCCTCCCCCAAGCATGACCACGATCATGCCCATCTTCCCTGCACAAGCATGACTGCGGCCATAGATGGGCGCGATTGGGGTTGCGCTCGGGCAGGGAACACGGGTGCAATTGTGGCCATCGCGCCCCCCCCCCCCACTGAGCATGACCACAATTGCACCCATGCAGGGAAGGCGGGCACAATTGCGATCGTCACCGGATGCAGAGTTTGTGACCTGCCGCAAAATTTTTATGAAATTTCTGTTTGCGACCCGATGTGGTCGTGAACTGAGGCGTTCATGAGCCGAGGTACCACTGAATTCAGCTGGTCTTTGGTGGCTTGGAAAAGGGATTTCATATCCTACCATCCATTCTTTGGACCTCCCTGTCCTCTTGGGATGTATGGTGCTCTGGGCAGCAACACCGCAGTTGGGAGTCCTCTTTTTTTGGAAGGAGCTTCTTGATTGCAGACCACCTGGAGCCCAGCGGCAAGGGTGGCCCTCCAGATCAGCAATACAATGAAGCCCTGAGGAGTTTGCTTCTCTAGGATCCGTGGACTTCTTCTCGTGCTTGGCTCTGTCTTAGAAGGAAGAGCCAAGAGGAAGCCTGAAGCTCACAGAGCGTGGGCTGTGTGACCAGCAACCTTCTTCCATGTCTTGTGTACCAGCACAAAGGTGGTGCATGCAGCACAGGAGTCCTGCTTGTGCAGCAATTGTGCGGGGCTGTTCCTGGTGAGCAGTGCACAAACTCCGGGCACGCTTGCCAGGAAGTTGGCCGCACAGCTGCAACGAAGTGGTCCAGCTGTTCGGAGCTGGATCCAGGGAATCCAACAGATCCCCACCCCCAAAATGGATTCCTCACACAGCCCTACTCCAGATGTTGACACACTGGAGCTCCCATCATCCCTCACCACTGGCTATCCTAGCTAAGGCTGATGGGAGTTGAAATTCAAGCATCATTAGCCCCCCACCAAAGGTGGCTACTCTAAGTGCTCCCAAAATCAGCGTAACTGTAGGGCATTCCCCTGGGTGGATTCCTCAATGTGGTCTGAGACTTGCACCCCACCAAAGTTCCTTCCACACACCAAGCATTTAAGCAGCTTCTCTGCTTTGCTCATTCTTTGACGGTAAGGAAAACTTTGGTTGTCTGAAACCTTTTACACCCTCAGCCTCTCTGACTCCTACACTATTATGCAAAGTAGAGCTTGAAATCCAGCTGCAGTGTTGCTTTCTCCCTTCTCATATTCTGAATTTAAGGGTACAATGGAAAACACTACAACATCCAGCAGCTCCCAGCCAGCCATGCTTCCTGGGGGATGATGGGCTGTGCCCTGAACGGCTTTTCATGTGTGGATGCTCAATGTTGTTTCAGGATTGTCTCATAAAATGCTTTCTGCCTCTGACCATTTATATGGTTTCTCTCCTTTGTCGAAACATAGAAGCAGAGCGCGAGTCAGAAGGGGTCTCCCGTGCCATTTAGTCTGACCCCCGGCTCCATTTATGACATGCCTACCATGTGCATGTCCAGCCTATCCTTGTCCATCACCCTCATGGATGGGGCTTCAACCACTTCCCAATGAAGCCCATTCCATACCCTTGGGGTCTTAACCACCAGGAAGTACTTCCTGGCCCCCAAACTGAACCTTGAACCTATGAATTATCTGATATTCTGTAAGGTTTACTTTCTGGTCTTTCCACACCAGAAACCTTTATATAGGTTATCCTTTGGGTGGAGGGATTCCATGATATATTTTAGGGCTTGTGAAAGCTTGGAACATTTTGAATTCAAGGTATTGTTTTTTGGGGGGTGTGACCTTAGGACCAAATGTGTCCTAGAATTCCTCCCACATATCAAGCATGTATGTCGCCTCTCCTTTATGCAGATTCTGAGAAGGCTTGTAGGGCCTGTGTCGGTACTGACGCTGTTCAGCGCACTGGTAAGGTTTAGCCACAGTGTGTATACTTTGATGTGAATAAAGCTCGGCACTGTACTCAATGCTCTGTCCAGACTCGGAGCACGTATATGGTGTTTCCCCCATGTGGATTCTCTGATGCCTCCTCAGGGTTCTGCTATCACTGAAACCCTTTCCACACACTGCACATGTGTACGGTCTCTCCCTAGTGTGGACTCGGTGATGCCTCGTAAGGTTTGTGCTATGACTGAAGCACTTCCCACAAGTAGTACATTGGAAAGGTTTATCCCCCGTGTGGATTCGGTAATGTATGATAAGGTTTTTGTTTTCCCTGAAGCTCTTTCCACAAACTGAACATTTGTAAGGTTTGTCTTCAGTGTGAATTTTATAATGCATTCTAAAGTTTTTCTTCTCTGTGAAGCTCTTTCCACACTCTGAGCACTGGTAAGGTTTTTCCCCTGTGTGCACCCTTTGATGAGACCAGAGCTCTGAACTACATCGGAAGCTCTTCCCACATTCTGCGCATTTATAGGGCTTCTCCCCTGTGTGGATTCTGTGGTGCCCCTTCAGGTTTTTCTTCTCCCTGAAGCATTTTCCGCACTCAGAGCACTGATATGGTTTTTCTCCTGTGTGGACCCTTTGGTGTGACCAAAGTTCTGAACTCCACCTGAAGCTCTTCCCACACTCTAAACATTTACACGGCTTCTCCACAGTGTGCAATCTTTGATGTGTCCTAAGGCTTGGCTTACTAGTTAAGACTTTTGCACATAAAGACATTGCATTCCTTTTGCTTCCAGTGTGACATTCTTGAAGCCTTGGGATTTCATGGAAACTGGCCCCATGAGAAGGAACAGGTCTATTGCCCCACTTCCATTGTGCATCAGTTTCCCAACTCTGCAGTTCACTTTCTTTCTCGCCCTTCCTCCAGTCGCCTGAGGAAATAAGGAGAGAAAGCTGGTTAGGAAGTAACAGACCCCCTAATCAGAGAATAGACTCCATTAACTGCCCATTGAAATATAGAAGAGAGACTTCTAGGGGCCAGCTTCAAACTAAAGGTCACTTGCATGAACCAGCAGCCCACGGTGTGGAACCTCCAGCCTGCAGTTTCCCCATGCGGCCTGCAGAGGCCTGGACTCCCTTAGTGAGCCCAGCCTCCTCCATCTGCTCTCCCCAAGCTACCAATTCTCCAGAGGTTTAACCGCTAGGCATGCAAGTGTCCAGAGATAACAAGGAATCTCCTGCGTGTACTTCCCTCTCCACAGCAGGGCAGCCTGTGACCAGCAATGCTGGGTTCCCCATCAAAGTGCTGAGAGAGACGATCCACTGTGAATGTTGGGCATGGGATGTGGTCCCATCCTTTGAGGTTATCTGGCCCACGGGTATCATTTGTTAATTATATTATTATTTATTATATTAAGAATATTGATATAATAATAATGGCAGTGGGATCGTGACCATCATCATCTATTATTATTATTGTTATTATTAGTAGTAGTAGTAATATTTGCATTTCTATGCTGCCCCATACCTGAGGTGGTTTACAACAATGCACAGCAACACTAAAATGTAATACAAATGTAAATTTAAAGAAATATTCAGATGAATTTAAGGCAGGTAAAATGTGTAGTAAAATGATCCTTGAAAAGGAGAAACACATAGGATTGGTAATCCCCTCCAGGCTTTAGGGAACTAAGAAAATCCATCATGGTCTTGACATCAAGATGTGTCTTAACCTAGTACTGAAAAGATAGCAAGTTTGCTGGGTTAAAATACATAAATGGCTTGAGGAAATGCTACAAAACCCTTGAACATTTAAACCTGAAGTTTTTCTATTAGGCATCATTTCTGATGACTTTGATAAACAAGCTATATACCTGATTCTATGTGTAATTACTGCGGTGAGGATTGTATTTGCCCAACATTGGAGGAGTGAAGAGCCACCTACTGAAGAACTGATCTTAAAGATTTTGGACTGCGCGGAAATGGACAGATTGACCTTGTCTTTGAAGGAGAAGGAGAATACATATATCTATCAAACTTGGAACTCTTTTTATTATTGGCTAGAGAAATGGGACTATGCATAGATCTGAATATGGTTATTGACTGTTAAAAAGAGTAAGATGTCAACCTAGTATGTCCGATGTCTTAAATGATTGATGTTTTTAATGTTAGATTGTAGAGAAAATAATAAAATTTATTTAAAAAAAAAGATAGTAAGTTTGATGCCAGGTGGGTGACAGTGGGGAGACTGTCTCATAGATGGGAGGGGGGCATCATAGAGAAAGCCCTCCCCTGGTTGCCAACCTCTACCCCTCCCTTGGAGATGGCACTCAGAGGAAGGTCCCAGAGGCTGAGCATGGCGCCCAAGCAGATTGTGGTGGTGGGGGAGTGCAATCTTCTGGCCTTTGGACATAGTCCGGGAGTGGGCATAAGATTGCCTGGAGCTCCTGTGACCTTGGAGGTGGGGCTCTAAGGCTGAGGTGGCCACTTGGTCTTGGAGGGGCAGGGAAGGGGTGCCCCAGGGTGGGAGTGCAGGGGCGGAGCAAGGGCTGGCGGCTGGCGCCTTCTAGGTAAAATGAACGCGATACATCACAGTGGCAGCGATCATCAGCACCACGGGACTACTACCCGATTCCCCCTCTCAGTTCTATGATGTTACAATTAGCACCTCCTGATGGAGGAGGTGAGAGAGCTTGATGGAGAAACCTTCATTGGTGAGAGCAGATATTACTGGGAAAGATAGATCAGGGGCAGTCCTATATGAGCATCTTTTTATTTTCCCAATGTTTTAAGACTTGATTGTTTTAATAGGGGGTTTTATTGTTGATGGGAAAATTTTGATTAGGATGCTGTGTTTTATTCTGTTTCATCTTATTGTTAAACCTTCCCAAGACCATGGTAAGGGACGGTCTAAAAAGAGTTTTAAATAAATAAATAATCTGCACTACAAAGGTTGGTACTGCAAAGGTCTTTCCATCACCTGCCTGCATAGCTGTACATCAAGTGAGCATGCTGAGTCACCCTTGCTAAGCAGGAAAGACCCAGGCCTGCAGCTGGATGGGGGACCACATGTGGAAGCAGATGGGGGACTTGGGCTCAAGAGCCTTGTAGACCCCTCCCAACTCTCTACTGCTATGAGCTGAGACTTGCAAAGAACATCAGGAGCAACAAAAAGGGCTTCCGTAAATAGCAAGAGGAAGGGGAGTCAGGTGGTGGAACTGCTTAATAGGGAGGAAGGTGACTGATGTGAGGGAACAGGCACAGATGCTAAATGACTCTTTTGCCTCTGTGTTCTCCCCAAAGCAGAATGGGGGAGATCTACATGGGGGACTAGATGAGGCCAGGGATTTAGGGGCACAGATTAGAGTCATCCCCCCTATAAATTGAGGAGCTCCTCAGGGCCCTGGATGTTACAAAGGCGCCAGGCCCTGATGGGTACTTCAGGAGTTGGTGGGGGTATTCTCACACCCATTGGCCTCCATTTGATTGGTTGGTTGGCTGATTGTTTGATACATACATACATGCATACATACATGTATTTACAGGCCACCTACAACTGCTAAGGCTTCCTAGGCGGCCTATTTTTGAGGCCTCGTGGAGAACAGGTGAGGTTCCAGAGGACTGAAGGGTGGCATCAGTGGTCCCAGTTATCAAAAATGGTAGTAGAGGGAACATGGGAATTACAGGCTGGTTAGCCTTATGTCCATTCTAGCAAAGATGATGGAAAGGCTCATAATAGTGAGAGATCTCTTAACCAGGCCAGGTGGATTCCATCAAGAAAGGCACAGCCTCGTGTTTACATGAGCCAAGCAGGGCTGTCAAGGTCAAGATGGTTTGGAGGGGACACATTCATGGGGTTGCTGTAAGACAGAGATAACTCAACAGTTGTAACAACACTGGGAACAAACAAACAAGACAAGGAAGAGGGATCAGCCCAGGATGTCTTCAGTTCCCAAACAAAGAAACAGAGTCAGCTTTCTCGGTGTCCTTTGCCTATCAGCCAAAGAAAACAGAGATGCTCACCCAGAGAGACCCAATTCCCATAATTCTCCTGCAGGACTTCCTCGTGAAGGGACCTCTGGCCTGGATCCAGCAGTGCCCACTCATCCTCTGAGAACTGCACAGCCACCTCCTCGAAGGTCACTGGACCCTAAAAGAAGAGGAAATATCTCTTCTAGCAGACAATGCAGCTATCCAGAAGGACAGTAAAGATGAGTGGTTTGAGGTTCTCCTATGAGATTTGGAGCTTGCTCAGTCCCTTCCAAAGTCCTGTCCATGAGCAGTTTTGCAGGGTCAAAGGGAACAAAAAGATCCTTCTGGAATGTGAGGATGGAGGCATCCAGTCTGCCCCCTACCCAATCATTCTTCTCCTACCTGATCCAACAACTGCACATCAAGCATTTTCACTCCATCACCAAGAAGAGAAGGCCTGGGATGAAGCTCCTGGATCATTTCACCGCCTGTAGGTCAGAAGATGTTTGATTCTGTTATTTGCCCTGCCCCATTCAAGTTGCTAGTCCTTAGTAACCGTGCCCTAAATGATATCAGGAAGAGTCAAAGTACATTCCCCAAGTTTTATATTTGTTTATTATAAAGATTCTCTGCTCCAGGTTTCCTTGTGCTTTTATAACCTGAGGCTTCTAGAGAAAAGCAGAAGAAATGGGGGGGATAAGGGGAATATTTATTGGGCTTTGATCTGAGGGACATCACGGAAAAGGCTTTTCACTTACGGTTCTCGTCCACAAACACAAACACACACTTGTACAAAATGGAATGCGAAGCCATTAAGTTGGTTAGATTGGTTTCTTCTTTTCAGTTTTCATTTCCAGATAAAAACCAGTTCAGATTGTTAAGGGATTTGTCTGCATTTCCAAGCCCGATTTACTTGGCTCAACCTGCATTTTTATATATGTGATTTTATTCCTAGACTATCTTTTAAGGAGCTGCTCCAGAGTGATTTGAATATGATTCCAAACACCAAATCATTTCAAATAGAATAAATGATGGAATGTACAAGGGGTCTTCAAAAAGTTTCTGCACTTTTATATTTTATAAATATATTTTATATATTTTTTGCTGATGGCATTAAAATGTTGGTACAACATTGGGAAAAATGCATGGCAAAGGAATGCGACTGTGTAGAAAAGTGATGTGATTTGTTTTTGAAATTCTTAATAAATGGAGTTTTTAAAAGTGTGGAAACTTTTTGAAGACCCCTCATATAATGCCACTCAGCACCAATGACTGACCACACATTTTGAAATGGGTAGAGAGGAGCGTTTTCCCAACCAGCATTCCAAGGCTGCTTCCGAGATGCTGGCACCCTCACCTGGTGACACGCTGGCACTTCCGCCATTTCTGTGAAGTAGCCTCTCTGGGGCTTCTTGCGTGGCCTTCTCTGTCCCTGGGAAATCGCTGGCTACCTCAGCCCTCCTCTCCACCTGAAACGGCACCAAAAATCCCCCACAGGGATCTGTGAGAGGAATTAGGAAAACCACAGGGCGGGCAAGTGGGCAACTGTTGAGGAATGCCGGACCGCTCACCTGTTCCTCCGCGTGCTTTTTCTCCTCCGCCTGGCTCAGGAGGAAGCCTTCGGCCAGGGCCACCGCCTGGGAACTGGTCTCCGGTCCACATTCTCGGACCCAGTTCTCCATCTCTGGGGGCAGGACAGTCAGCAACTGCTCCAGGATCACCAGGTCCAGCATCTGAGCTTTCGTGTGCTTCTCCGGCTTCAGCCACTGCCGGCAGAGTTTGTGGAGTCGGCTGCAAACTTCCCGGGGCCCCTCGGCCTGCTGGAAGCAGAACTCCCTCAAGCGCTGGCGCTGTACGTACAGGTTGAAGGTCTCCTCACCAAGGATCTTCTGCATCGTCTCCTCCCAGGAGCCCCTGCTTCTCCCAGGCCAGGTGTCATGGTGGTCTTCTCCCACCTCAAACCCAGCTGAGGTCCGATTTCCCAGCATTTCCCTCTGTTCTGGGTCTACCTCCATCACAGCTTGAGAGTTCTTCTTCCTCTGTAGCCAATTCTTTTCCTGAGGCAAGGGGAGGCCACCAAGTTCTGCAAAGGTCTTAAATCCTTTTGAGGCTACGACATGCCCCAAGAAGCTTCGCAGGACGTGTTGGGCAACTTGGGCTGGTGCTGGGAGCTTCCCTCTGAAAGGAAACCAGACAAACACTAAGGTGGAAAAAAGATGTTTAACATTCATAAGAAAAGCCCTGCCAGGTCAGCCCCAAGGTCCATCCAGTCCAGGGGTGGCAAACCAGCTGCCCCCAGGATCCCTCCAGCAGGAGGGGTGCAGGACCCCCTTCTGCCCAGCTCCTCAGCAACGGGCTTGTGCAGGCTGGCCGCCTCTGGGGAAGGAGGGAGCACTTGGCCAGCAGGGCTAGTAGCCACAGACAGCCTCCTCCCTCATGGATCTGTCCCATCCCCTTTTAAAGCCATCCGGATTGGCAGCCATCTCTACTTCCTGTGGCAGCGAATTCTATAGTTTAACTATACATTGTGTGTCCTTCCTTTTATCTGTCCTGAACCTCCCACCCTTCAGCTTCATCCAGACCAATGTGCAACTCTAGCATTGTCTCAGCCCTAACAATTCCCCCATAACACTCCCTCCCTTGACCTCCCCCTCCTCTGCACAAACAGCTATGTCTGAAATCTCACCCTTTTCTCTTCATCCCACTCTCAGATGCCTTTTCCTTTCCATCCTGCAAACATGAACTAGCTTGACCCCAGGAAAAAAACTTCCAAATCCAATTAACCTCGAAAGAGACCTGCAGTCATCAGAACACACCAGCTGTCAGGAAACTGCTTCCCAACATCACCGATGGTCTGTTGGGTTTTGCCTGCATTCTACATCTGGCCAGACTCCTAAATTCTCATTTCGGATCTTTTTCAGGTTCACCGGCACCAGGACCCAAGGAAGGGGACCCCAGTTTGGCGCCAGAGCAAGTGCGTCTCTAGAAGTCTTTCTCTAGTTTTATTTATTTATTTATTTATTTATTTAAACCTTTTCTATGCCGCCCCATTCGCAAAAAGCCTAGGGGCGGCTTACAGCAACATAATTAAACTTAAAAAACCGGACACATCTCGGCACAAGATCTGCAGTCTCTTCTTTTGGCCAGGAAAGCGCTGTACCCCCCTCCCCTCCCCACCTCACCCCCATTCTCTGGAGGAGCAGAGGGAGGGAGGAAGGAAGGAAGCATTTCCAAGATGTGGGAATGCCGCAGGGTCCCCGATAGGTCAGCTGCAAGGCCCGCCTCCCCGAGGAGCGAGCATCTATCTCCCTTCGGGGTGGGGGAGGCTCTGAGGCTTTCCCCCAAACCGCACCCCGGAGCTCCCTCGGGGGGCAGCTCTCTCGAGGGGTGTGTCTCCTGTTCTCTCTTCCAGCCAGGGCATCCAGACCGCCACCTCCTTGGGAGGCATCTCCCATCGGGGAGCAGGATCGCAGGCTCGTTCTTCCAGGCAGCTGAGGCGCGCCGCCCCCCTCCTTGGGGTGGAATCCCCCTCTTTTGGCCGGGGGGGGGCGCAGGCACGCTCCGTGCGCTGCCCCCTCCCTCCGGGCACGGCTCGCCCTGCCTGGGCTCTCCCCCCACCCCACTCACCAGCCGCCTGGCACGGGGGGCGGCGGCTGCCCGGGGGCAAGGCGGCCCCCGCCCTCTCGCCGCTCGGCTCCCTCCGGGGCGCCCCCGCAAAGTCTCCGCGCGGCCTCCTGCCTCTCCGCGTCGCGCTCCTTGCCCGGCCTCGCCTGCCCTTCTGGGGGCGGGAAGGGAAGGAAGCTCGGCCGCGCCCCGCCCGCTTCCTCGGCGCCTCTCTGGCCGCGATCCCGCCGCAGCCTCTCGCCTTAACTCTTCCGCGGCTCCGCTGCCCATCACGCAGAGACCCCGAGCAGGAGGAGGAGGAAGAGGAAGAGGCCTTTCTCCGTGCGGCTCTGGCAGGGCCGGCAAGCGGGGCAGGAGCCGAAAGCCCCGGGGCTCAGGCCCACAGCAAAGCGGGTGCGGGGAGGACGCGCATTTGCTGTATTTATGGATTTGCAGTGAGCCGTCCAGAGACTCAGTGTGACTGGCCGGCCTAAAAATACCCCAAATAAATAAATAAATAAATAAAATTAATTGCATCTGCTAATTTGCTGCACGGGGAAAAGCCTCCTCCTCTTCCTCTTCGGGGTCGCTGCATGATGGGCAGCTACTCTAAAAGCTGTGTATTCTCAAAGAACCGAGTCTCCTAGATGCATCCCGTTTGCTAACGGGGACTATGAACGCGGGAGCAGCGCTTTAAAAAAAAATTGGGGGGGGGGCTGGAGGGAAAGCCCCCGAAGGTTATAAATAGAGGGCCGCAGGAGATGGACATATGAGGATGTAACGAGATCTTGCAGGCAGAAATTTTGGGAAGGATCCCCTCTCCTGTCCTTGCTTGGTGGTCTCCCCTGCCTGATCCAGCAGCAGAAATCTGTAATGGGGGGGTGGGGGCAGAGGGACTTTGGGCAGAAGCAAAAACATAACCCCCCATTTCAGTGAATGAAGTATGTGCGTCCGCGTTCGTGTGAAGGGGAGACCACACTGCTGTGCTCCCCCAGAGGCATGAATGCAAATATGCCTTTGAAAGATCCATGTGGCTTCATGTCCAAAGTAATTACCTTTTTAAAAGAAGCAGAGTTTTGACAGCTGTCTGATAGTTCTAGGTGTCTTGCTGTTTTCTAAGTTCCCAGGCACCTAAAGTCTTGGTAACAAGTGGAAAGTGGAGAGCACCCTCAGAGTCCAGTTGAGTCCAACTGGATCTTGCTAAAAAGGGGTGTAAACCCCCCCCTCCTGTTTTTGCAAGTGCAGATCACTCCCACTTTTGGTTTAGTTGGACAGCTTGCCTTTGGATAGCTGTCAGTCCAACCGGAAGGGGAAAAAGGTTATTTGGAGTCTCTCTGGGGTAACTGGCCAAGGGGCAGGTTTGCCACTCTTGCCAAGAAATGTGCTTGCTGGTTCCCAGCACCCACAATGGGTCTGCTAGTCACCGAGGTTTGGATGATGTGACATTCCGACATAGGCACAATAACCTCTACAAGCCAAGGATTGTTCGGTGCCTTGCGGCTGACAGGTTCTCTTTGGGGAGCCATCCAAGTTCATGCACCAGGTCACTGCACCTAAGAGGCTTCCTCATTAAAACAAATGGACAACCCTCCCCCCCAAAAGAAAAAACAAAAAAAGGAAAAGAAAGGAAAATTATGAACACATTTGCGAACATGAAGAAGGGATGGGGGGAGGTTAGCTTCCTTTCCCTTTTCTGTAGATTCTATGGTTTTATTTCAGCCTAGTGCTTGAATTAATCTGGTTTATTTTGCATGATCCTTCCATTTTAAAATTTATATCTTGTTTTAATGTATTGTAAAATAAAAAATAAAAGAAACAACAACTGATGACTGTTCAAATTCCCAGGTGGGGGCTGCAAAATGCTCTGTCTCTAAAATAGATATGGGGTATATAGATGTTCGATCGATTCATTTGAATTGTTTGCTGCTCCCTGAGCCATAGGCTTTCTGGGTGGCTCACAGCATACACACAGCAATTAAAATAACGCACTTCATATTAGATTTAACAAGACACAGCATAAAGCCAACAATAACTATAAAATCGCTGCATAGATGAAGATAAGGAATAAGAGAAGACGTTGAAGTGGAAAGGCAAATTATTGGAAGGATCCCTGTGCACAGGAGCCCGGCTAGCTCAGTCGGTAGAGCATGAGACTCTTAATCTCAGGGTCGTGGGTTCGAGCCCCACGTTGGGCGCAATGTTCTTTATGTTTCCTTCCCTAGGTGATGGAATGGGCTTCCATGGGAGGTGGTTGAAGCCCCATCAGTGAGGGTGTTCAAGAATAGGCTGGACAGGGACATGGTATGAGCAGAGCCATGAGCAGAGCCAGCTGGAGTTGGGGGTCAGACTAGATGGCCCTGGAGGCCCCTTCTGACTCTTCTCTTCTCTGTCTTCTATTCAGAAGAAGCTTCCAACAAATTCCAATTTCTGGGAAACCCTGTGCCAGCTTCATTGCTGGGGAAGGACCCACAGTGCAGTCCAGGAGAGCTTTCCTTAATTTCCCTTTGCTAATCCTTTCCCCATCATTTCAACTTGTAGGAACAAAATGAGCAGTGCTTAAGCACAGCTTGTCCATGTGGCTGATCATGACTGAGGCCAGCAGAATGTTTTCTCACTGCTGGGAAAATCACGGAATGATTGAGGAATTTTGCGGATGGTAAGCTGGGCCCTCCCAGGAGATTCATCTCTTCCCGATACTGGCTGGGGATGATGTGAGCTGTAGTCTTGAGGGCATGAAATTGCCTCCTTGTTTGGCATTATTGTTTCCCTTTGTTCCCTATTCGTTGCTGTTGTTAGTTGCGAAGTCGTGTCTGACCCATCGCGACCTCATGGACAACATTCCTCCAGGCCTTCCTGTCCTCCACCATCCCCTGGAGTCCACTTAAGCTCGCGCCAACTGCTTCAGTGACACCATCTAGCCACCTCATCCTCTGCCATCCCCTTCTTCTTTTGCTGTCAATTGTTAGATATTTTTAAAATTCCTCTGTAAAGTTCTCCCAGTCTCTTGCACCATTTTTAACAGTTTCTGCTTGCAGTTTCTGAGTCTACAGTGAAGGGTCCTGGGTAAGTAACTTCTCTCACACACACCTCTCACTTCAATTTCATACTTTCACTGTTCCTCGGTGGTCTCTGAGTCTTTAAAATTCTCCAGCTCCCTGAGCTTATGTGGCCTTCGGTATGGGAGTGGTGGGTATGTTCACACACACAATTATTGAAGTGTACCAAACACTACAGTAGTGCACACTTAAATAGCTTCACAAGATCCCCCTGCCCAAACCTCAGACCTGAAAGTTCTGGCCTTGAAGCCACACTTCAAGAAAGATTTGGAGAAACTGCAGCAGGCTCAGAGAAGGGTAGCAGAGATGATGGGGGACTAGAAACTAAGTCCAACTATCAAAGCTTGAAGGCTCCAGTTTGTTTATTCTGGA